AACCAGAAAGGTGAGAAAGGCCGAGATTGTCATTTTTCGTGCGTGCGAAAAAGGCCAAATTAGATTTTGTTTTTTTAGCAAGGTGTTCTTTCCCAGAACAACGACGGGAAAGCCACGCCCGATTGGAGACGTCACGAAGTACGGGAGACGCCCAACCAGAATCTCATTGGCCGAAAGCGGTCACGTGATATGCGAGAAAGAGGAGAAAGGACGCTCGATTAAGACCCATTGGTCGAAATCGGTCACCTGACATACGAGAGACCGGGAGAGATGGGTATGCGCCTCCCCACCAGAGGCACTGTGAGGAAGTAGGGGTGAAAATAAGAGCGATAATGGGAAATCAGAAATAATGCGACTTTTGGAATTATCGAGAAAACCCTGACGCCGACAGACCCACCCCAGTTTGTTGCGGCGTCAATAAAAGCAGGACCCCAGTCGACAGAAATCAGTTGCAGCTGGACCGCGGGCAGCGAGGGAGCTTGAACGCGGGCATCGGGCCCGGTTCATTCGCCCCTTTGCGGGCAAGAGAATCCTAAGACAAGAAATCCTTCCAGCCCATGTCGAAGAAGAAGAAGATTGCTCGAAAGCCGCAGAGAAGTTGCAGCCAAGTCGAAGATAAGAAGAAGAGCTGCAGGCCAGACAGGCAGTAAAGTTGCAGGCCAAACAAGCAGATCAGTTCAGCCCCGGACGGCAGCGAGAAGGGTCCACCTCAGACGGCAGAGAGAAGAGTTGCAGGCCAGACAGGCAGTAAAGTTGCAGGCCAAACAAGCAGATCAGTTCAGCCCCGAACGACAGAGAGCTCAGTTCAGCCCCAGACGACAGAGAGCTCAGATCACCTCAGACGGCAGAGAGAAGAGTTGCAGGACGGAAGAAGAAGAAGTTACTTGCAGTTATGCATAGAAGAAGTTGAAATCAAACCAAGCCCAAGAACAGAAATTCGTCTCAAACCAAATCGAAGTGAAGAAATACGTCCAACTCAAGCCGAAGAGAAGAATCAGCCGTGAACGACTGGTAGAGATTAGCGCCCAGTGTCAAAACTAAACCACACTCCGACACACAAAATTCTAGAGAGTAGGCAACTCGAAGTCTTTAAGTTGTATGATAGAAGCTTGGTGCCACAGTCCACAAAGCGGGTCGGGAAGTAAGAATAATTTTTATGTAACGAACATTAGATATAAAAGGTTGTTACCCTTTTTATCAGTAATTTTTGGTCTCGTGAGTTTTTTCTTTTACTTGTGTTTTGCCACCCCGTCGAACTCAACTTGCATACGGCCCCAATCCCTGTTTGATCCCGTCTGTCTAAGATCTAATCACAACGTGGGTAGGCAGACCGGAGATCAGTACAGTTACCTTAGTAACCAGGTGTTGGAAGCGAGTTGGGAAAGGCGAGGCTGGTAATCATCTAACCAAGGGGTTGGAACGTCACACTTGGAGCAGCGAGGAGCGACCCGGAGGAGCGACGTCACCGTTGGCGCCGTGACCAAAGGATTCGACCCTGGACCAAGTGCCGTCACACGCAGATGAATTATCAAGAAGCCACCTCTCTGAAAAAGAGATTCGAACCCACCTTTCACGGCCCCTACTAAGTTCCCTACCATGCCGCCACGTCCCCGCTTAACCTGAACAGAATTGCTTTAAAACCATCTACACTATGAACTGACAGAAATTTGTAATTCAAAACTCTTAAATTCTCCAGTACATGGCCTGCTAGATACACCATGTACAATGTCACGGTCTTGCGACATCCAATGAGGAACAAACATGCCAGATTTGGTCTTTGATAATTAGATTACCCTGGAATAAGGCTATGGTCGTGGCGCAGTTGATGGGGGCTCAAGACCTGGCAATCACATATTCGCCTCAAGACTGTGCTTGCTTGCTGGGAGGCGCTTATATAATTATTTGTTATTCGGACAAGCATTCTCATCTTGGTTGCTATACTCACAACGTTTAGGCTATTACCGATTTGATCATTTTAGTCTGAATTCTTGAGATGAAGAATTATCATTATTATATGCTTTGCTATTCGGACCAGCATTCTCATCTTGGTTGTTATACTAACAATGTTTCGGCTATTACCGATTTGATCATTTTCAGTCTGAATTCTTGAGATGAAGAATTATCATTATTATTTGCTTTGCTATTCGGACCAGCATTCTTATCTTGGTTGCTACACTAACAACGTTTCGGCCGTTATACACTACAGTCTTCTTCAGATGTCTCGTCTTCGCTTTCAGTTTCCTGGGAATTTCGAACTGTACCTTTTATTCGATCCGAGGCTTAACATTCTTCTCCTTCCACCTTCCATCCTTAGGGGAGATAATTCATATCCGTTTAATACCCACGTTTTTTATTCACTTTTGTTTAGTTTTTCCGTTTCACGTACTGAACCATAGGATGTGACTTTTCACCCGACATATGGATTTTTGCACAGAACCTCCAAATAACTTGATTTTGTTTAAGTAAATGTTGTTTCGAGATTACTAGAATACTTACGTGTACTATGTCTTTCGTCACTCCCCCAACTTGAGTAGGTTTTGATACCAGTCAGTTCAGGAGCACGTCCAAATATTGAAGTCTCTCTTTTATAAGTCTATAAGTCGCGTGATTGTGTCTGTGGCTGACTTGCTAGAGCCAGTCGTGTAGCTTACAGAATCTGCTATACAGACCAACGTAAACTTTGCTTAACTTAGCTTCGGCAGCCACTCGAGGTAGAGCGTTACAGATTAAGAGGCATAGTTTCTTTAGGATATGTGGCAAAAATAATGGTTAATGGTAGACTTGTACAGGTTAAGACTGTACCAATCGGGGAAGCATCCTCTTGTGACTCGGTCCCACAAAGCAGCGGTTCGTGAGACGAAGCTGCTTGAGGGGAATTTACGTTTCACCAATAAAATACGGAAGTTATGAGGATGGTTCCAAAGGGAGTGGCATGGCAGCTCTTAGCTGGAACCGACTCCCAAGAGGATGCTTCCCTGATCACTACAATCTTAACCTGTTCAAGTCTAGGGTTAACCGTTATTATCCGCACATATCCTCATAAACTGTGCTTCTTAGTTCTTACTTTGTGCAACCGACTCCCAAGAGGATGCTTCCCCGATCTCTACAATCTTAACCTGTTCAAGTCTAGGGTTAACCGTTATCTTCCCCACATATCCTCATAAACTGTGCTTCTTACCTCTTACTTTGTGGAACCGACTCCCAAGAGGATGCTTCCCCGATCACTACAACCTTAACCTGTTCAAGTCTAGGGTTAACCGTTATCTTCCCCACATATCCTCATAAACTGTTCTTCTTACCTCTTACTTTGTGGAACCGACTCCCCAAGAGGATGCTTCCTGATCACTACAACCTTAACCTGTTCAAGTCTAGGGTTAACCGGTTATCTTCCCCACATATCCTCATAAACTGTGCTTCTTACCTCTTACTTTGTAGAACCGACTCCCAAGAGGATGCTTCCCCGACACAGTGTTAACTTTTTTTTAAGTCTAGTGTTAACCCTTGCCTTTACTATATAACCTCATAAACTGCGACTCTGGCCCTCATTGCTCAAAGAATAACCTCCTTCAACAACTTCAGTGACTTCTGGAGTAAAAAAAAAATGATAATGTTGTTTAATGGTATAGACGACTCGGTGTTGATAATCTGTAGCCACGCCACTTAGCGCCTCTATTTTAACAGCGGCTCTAAGTGGCGTTGGTCCAGATTATCAACATCGAGCTGTCTACACATTTAAACAACATTATCATTTACTAATTAACCCATAGCTAGGAGGAGAATAGTTGGATTCATAGCTTTAACTCGGCTGTTCAATCAGCAATTTTTAGCCATTATCCATCACGCCGCCTGCACATCCAAGCTAACTACACCTGATACTCACAATGGTCACCCATCCCCGCACTGACCAGGCTCGATATTGCTTAACTATCGGTGATCGTACGGAAACCGGTATTTCAACCTGATTTGACCCTAAGTCCTGACAACTCGTAGGATGACAATGGGAAGCTTGATAGCGCTTATGTTTTTGCAAATATCATTTTATCTTTCTCTTTTTGGTGATGGTTATAATGCCTATTAACGCCTGTTCGATTGTGTCTTTATACTGCGCTACATATGAAAATGCCTACGTAGGAGATGCCTAGGATGGTTCTGTAACATTTTATTTTGATAGCCTATTCTTCCCCAACTAAATAGTAGAACTTGTATCTGGAAAAATCACTTTTATCTCCCAAAAATTGTTAACGTAATATTAACTCACAAAAAAAAAAATTCTTCTCATCCCAAAATGTCCTTGATGTCTGCCTTGAAATCCTGCTTGGTGTTATAGGGTCTGCTGTTTACCTCCTTCTCAAAGACGCTACGCACAATATAGATCCGGTGGATTGCAGTCCGGCAACCAGTTTTGTCCGTTGAGAAAGTGGCGCCTCTTGAGCACATAAGATTTGTAATTCAAGTCCTCTTTGACAAGGCACCTGATTATTCGTCTGATTGTTCCCAATTGCTTGGTAATTTGCCACATGATTTCCCTTTGGTTCTCCTTGACAACCTCATCGATGAAGCCAGGCGTCCTGGTGGTGCCAGGGCGCTTTTTATGAGTCTTGCGTTCTAGACTGAAACTGCCCTGGTCGTCTGAGGCCCGCATATGCATTTGCAAGTGCGTAGACCTTCGTTTTAGAGTATTTGAACCATTCAATGATTTCCTTGGTTTTGTGGCCGGCGCAAATGGCTCTCCACAGTGGCAGCTCCACGATCGTATCCTAAAGATATGACGATTGCTAAGCACCTCGTTTGTCAATGTCCAGACAGCTACTGATGTGTGGTACGAAACCTCGCTACGCTGAGACGTCTCGGCGCTGTTGCTACGTAAAAAATCCGGATTTATCTGTGCCATATTCTACAGACGTATCCAAATATAGGCTAATGTTGGAGATTCCAAGAATGGATATTGTATTGCGTGTGAATAATAGTATTAGAAAACACACCTTGGGACAAATATGTTTTTATTTAAAAAAAAAAAATTACAAAAAATGTTCCTTTAAAGAATATTTCTGAAGCGAGAGGGACTCGTCAGATTCCATTTTTGTCAGGAAAAAAAAAGAAAAGAAGACTAAAAGAAATACAATTGATTTCTTTCATTCTTATTTGTACTTCAAAATTTTTTCATGACAGGTCAAATCATTATTTCAATCCAGACAGACACCAATATAAAATTAGACCAGCAATTGAAAATGGTCTATTATATTATAAATAAAAGATATTCAAGAAAACATCCCAAAAATGCGTGTACAATATTTATAATAATAATATTATTGATTTGTTCTTTATAGTTTATCAACATTTTGCAGGTCATTTAAAGCTAGAAAATATTTTTAGATTTTAAGAGTATTTTTTTCAGAAAATATTGGCTCATTGATACTAATTACCCCATAGCTGCCGGGGAGAAAAAAGTGGATGCGTACCTTTTTCAAGGGTGTTTACGTTTAAGTGAATATAGTGAATAGCACTAGAATTGTCCACTGTTTATATATATATATATATATATATATATATATATATATATATAATGCAATAGGTTAATTGTCGCCACTGCATATTTTGACTATCTGGGGAGAAAAAGGTGATGCGTACATTTTGTTAAGGCTATCTGCGCTTAAGTGTATATAGTGAACACCACTAGAATTGGGCATCTTCCAATTCCGAAATGTTATGCATTAATTACATATAAACATTACTTACTTATATAAAGGCAGAAAAGAAGGGAATTTTAACGTTTTTCTTCTATAAGAAATAAGCCAGCGGGCCGGAGTAAGAAAAGGTAATGCTTAATAGCAGTAGGATCCACTGTTTTATATATATATATATATATATATATATATATATATATATATATATATATATATATATATACAATAAATATAAACAATAAACGGGCATAGCAACAATGATAGTGTGTTTTGTTTGGATGGTTATTGCAATGTAATCGTCATCTTGATGATGGCTTATGTAAGCCGAAAGCTTAGATAAGATTTAAAAAAAAAACATGTATCAATATGGTTATTTTTATTTCGTCTTTCAAAGATAATGTCATTAAGCTTTATCAGGGGATATGAAAGCAATTTACTTAAAATAAATAGACAAAACTTTTCTATAGTATTTAATGTAACATGCATTAATGAAAAAATGCCGCCTAAATATATATATATATATATATATATATATATATATATATATATACATACATATATATATATATGATGCGATAGGTAAATTGTCGTAATTTCGGCCATGCACGTTGTTTGTTTCTGATTTTGTCGACTGCACAGTATAGTAGGGTACGCTGGGTACCATCTGTGAGAAAAAGAGTACCATGACGCAATTCACTGCGCCAGAAATTTGGGAACGGCACGCTGTAGTGCTTGACATTCGCACCGAAAGCTCCAATACGAATATTTCAGAGTTTTTGTGTGACAATCTGAAGACAGGATTCGGAAAAATTCTGATGAGTCTAATGATAACTACGAACGTGTTTGATGTTATTACTAGCGGTGTGAACCTTATGCCTCTATTCTCCTACCCACAGGGCCTTAGACTCAACACGGAGGCCTACATCTTGTAGCGTTAGTGCTACCCTGGGTGGTCAAGTGGGTGCCTGCTGGAAGACAATATGTCTGGCTAGAGGACTCTGCAACATACTGCAAAAGCAGGTCAGGCAATATTTTACATCTGGTCACTTTACCCACTAGATTGCAACCCCCTTGATGATAATGCGTGGGGTGCAGTTAAGCATGAGACCAACAGAAATCCTTGTAACACCAAAGATTAACTAAAGGCAAGGATTATGTCTGCAATGAACAACTTAAAAAGGAGACCACCCAGAAGAGTTGCAAGAGATTCCAAAGTCGTCTGTAGGCCGTTGTTGAAGCCAACGGTGATTTTATTGAATAAGTTTACTCTTTAGTATTTCTAGATATTTTTAGGTCATTTTTGTAAATATAACTCTTAAAATAAGATGTCAGTGTTATTTTCATTTTGCGTCATTTTATCCTTCGCTCCTTATATATATATATATATATATATATATATATATATGTGTGTGTGTGTGTGTGTGTGTTTACTTCCTCTGCTCTGTATTCGTTTTTATTGTTTTGCACTATCTACATCCATTCTCTGTCTGAATCTGTCTATTTCATTCTGCTTCTATCTCTCTATGTATCAGTTAAAACAAATCTAGTACAGAAGAAAAGGTTATTGAACATAGACGGAGTTGCGCTAGAGGTACTTTCTTTCAGCACCACAAATTGCCGCAAAACGAAAGCATCGACGTGAATTAATGGTTAACAAGCTTCTCTATCTAGATCAGTGGTTCCCAAACTGGGGCGCATTTACGGAATGAAAATTTGCTCGTCAAATTGTATGTGATAAAAAATACATTTAAAAATAAAAAAAATGCGGAGAGAGTGCTAAAGGGAGATAACTGCGGATTCGAAATAAGAACATTATCATTGATAACTCTCTCCTCCAAATTGAGGACCTTTGTTACTATATTCTTAATATTTGATATAATACAAAGATATCACAATGATAAAATCGGTCAGTTATTATTTATAACTATTTATAATGGGAATTGCAACTCATCCATAATAATAGTTTACATTTTTAAATCATATTTATTTTTGGCATATTAATTTTTTGAAACTGTATCTAAATCTTTGATTGCCATTCAATCATTCCGCCTCACCGGCTATCCTCTTCCACTGCAACTATAAGGCGCGCCACTGCGTTTGGAAACACCTGATCAAGATCAATTATGACTGGGTAGTGAGTTCGATCCTCCCTGGGTTCTTCCTACTTTCGTCCTTGTGCCATATATATGCTATGCTTAGTTTATCGCTATAAAACAATATTTACACGGTGATATTGCCGCATACCTGCTTCCATTTCGTGATCCCCTTCAATATCGCCCTTGTAGATATGATCCCTTCAGTACCTCCCTTGCGGATCAGAATTCTCCTAATTAATGCATGAACTTTCTTGCTGATCTCCTTTTGACGTATCAAATGATTTTAACAATCGACATCTGGATAGTTTACAACCTACTACGCATTGTCTGTATATCACGACTGACATCGCCATATTGGATTTTATAGCTTTAAACATTCACAGATTTTCATAAATATTTCAATAGAATTGGAAGACGAATCTTTTGCTGGTTGCGAACGAATCGTGATATATCGGTGTCTGTCTATATAAGTAATATTTGAAGAAAAAAGAATTAATATTAATAGCCCGGAGTTTTGAAATATAATAATATAATATTCTAACATAACGACATCTCTTCCACTAAATAAAGATTAGAAAATACATGAGTATAAAAATGTGCATCCGTGACCTGGCAAGGGCTTGGATGATGGAGATTTCTTGGAAAATGTACTGAGAGTCGTGTCCATGCTTACAATTTGCTGTGAAAGTAAGTTCGTTAAAAGACGGCAATCGGTAACGATAAACATACACAAAGACGGACGCATGTATGTGCATAAAACAATTGATCTGGGTTTATGCGTATATGAAACTCGCTCATTCCACGTAGGCTATTGCGCGGTGAATATGGCTGGCAGGTAACTCAGACTGAATATTGCGCCGATAATTTCATACACACACACACACACACACACACACATACATATATATATATAATTTGTGAATGTAGGCAGCAATCCTTCTTTCATACACATTTCATTGAATACGACATACAAGCTGCTTTGACTTAGTTTTTCTACAATTTCTCATGCCATCTAATATATATATATATATATATATATATATATATATATATATATATGAATTTTCTAATCCGCCATTATCAAGGATGAAATATTTTAATTGTTAAATAGCAAATAATTTGTTGCACGTATGTATTTATTTAATTTTTTTCAAAACACGGTCAAGATATTTCTTATTTAACAGTTAAAATGTTTCATACTTGAAAATGGATAGATGTATAGCCGAAAGTGCTCGGATTAAAAGAACATTCAGACAGTTTTTATATAATCTGCTAAAAAAAAAATTATTAGATCGCATGAGAAATTGTATAAAAAACTTGATCAGAGCATCTTGTTTGACGTATTCAATGAAATGTTCATATATATATATATATATATATATATATATATATATATATATATGTGTGTGTATGTGTGTTTGTGTGTAGGAATAAAGTGTCGCTGTCGACACTTGAGTTTGAACATACATCACTAATGAGTGAACACAGGTGATCCCATTGTAAATTAAGTAGACGACGTGATCATAGAGGAGACGCATAAATAGAAAGATATATGTAGGAAGTCGCGTGACATCTAAATGATCGCTATTTCTAGTCTATCCTCTATTACTATACGGATCACTATTCTCTATACTGATCACTATACGAATTGCTATTC